TTTGGCTGGACCACTGAGCTGCACTGACTCACTGCACAGTTGCACAACTCCACCAACACAAGAAAGGTGAAAGAGTTCCCTTTGGGAGGCAGTAGAGCCATAGATCGTCAGCTTGTTCCAAGCATGAAACTGCACTTTTACTATCAGCTTTTACTGTACATCACAAGGAAAGGCTTAAAAGTCTTAGTTTTTCAGCATTTTCAAACAAGGACTACATACAATTGTTGTACACAAAAACATCAGAAGCAGGTGCTAATTTTTCCCTCTCACACAGAAGGGTTGGCAGAGTTTTTTACTAAGCACATTACTAATACTGTCTGAAAACATTTTAAATATAAGAAACAATATAAATGGCTGTTGGAATACTCCAATTAACTTGTAAATAAAAAAGTACAAGACAGTAATTTTGGGGGTGTTTCTCAAATACATTTTTGTTCTTGTGTTTAAACATAAAGGCTCCAACAAAGCAGTAATGCTTTTGTGCTTTAGCACATATATACCAACATGTTTCTTTTAGGTTTGTCAGGAAACATTTCTTAGGTTAGATAGCACAACTATAATATTTCATACATGTTGCCTGCGGACTTAGCAGTGTGAGTGGAAAAAACAATTATCAGTCCTTTTCCACATCTTCAGGACTTCACCAGCAACCAAATAGGGATCTCTGCAGCTACGAGGATTACAGTCCTTGGGTCAGCCATTGACTGACACCAATTAGCAGTAAAGCAGAAATCTGCATGCTGAAACCAAAACAATACAGACATTGGAACCACCGTATCTAACAAGCATTTTGGAATTCTCTGCAAGGCACTGCTGTTGTATGGCACCCTCTGTTCCCCAGGGCTCAGTACTCGGGCCAGTTCTGTTTAATATCTTTATCAATGATCTGGATGAGGGGATCGAGTGCACCCTCAGTAAGTTTGCAGATGACACCAAGCTGGGCAGGAGTATTGATCTGCTTGAAGGTAGGAAGGCTCTACAGAGGGATCTGTACAGGCTGGATCAATGGCCGAGGACAACTATACAAGGTTCAACAAGACTAAGTGACAGGTCCTGTACTTGGGTCACAACAACCCCATGCAACACTACAGGCTTGGGGAAGAATGTCTGGAAAGCTGCCCGGCAGAAAAGGACCCGGGGATACTGGCTGACAGCCGGCTGAATACGAGCCAGCAGTGTGCCCAGGTGGCCAAGAAGGCCAACAGCATCCTGGCTCGTATCAGAAATAGTGTGGCCAGCAGGACTAGGAAAGTGATCGTCCCCCTGTACTCAGCACTGGTGAGGCTGTACCTCGAGTACTGTGTTCAGTTTTGGGCCCCTCACTACAAGAAAGACATTGAGGTGCTGGAGTGTGTCCGAAGAAGAGCAACAAAGCTGGTGAAGGGTCTAGAGAACAAGTCTTATGAGGAGCAGCTGAGGGAACTGGGGTTGTTTAGTCTGGAGAAAAGGAGGCTGAGGGGAGACCTTATCGCTCTCTACAACTACCTGAAAGGAGGTTGTAGCGAGGTGGGTGTTGGTCTCTTTTCCCAAGTAGCAAGTGATAGGACAAGAGGAAATGGCCTAAAGTTGTGCCAGGGGAGGTTTAGATTGGATCTTAGGAAAAAATTCTTCACTGAAAGGGTTATCAGGCATTGGAACAGGCTCCCAAGGGAAGTGGTTGAGTCACCATCCCTGGAGGTATTTGAAAGATGTGTAGATGTGGTGGTGAGGGACATGGTTTAGTGGTGGACTTGACAGTGTTAGGTTTATGGTTGGACTCAGTGATTTTAAGGATCTGTTCCAATCTAAATGATTCCATGATTCTATGATTCTATCTTTAGCTAGGAACCCACGTAAGACAGAAATATTCTAAATCTTCAACCTTTCTTGTGAGTTTTCTTACTCTCCTTTTGATAGAAATAAACCCCTAGCTTTTAAAGTAATCAGCAAAGAGCTAAACATGTTCCTTATGGTCTGTAGTCTCTGTAACAAAATCTGCCCTAAAAATGCTTCCTCAAAGTCCCTAAAATTCTTCATAATTGACCAAACATTATATTAATACATGGCTTCCCTACTAAATAAAGCTGTCATAACAATTGGCTCTATCCAAAGCCCTGGGACCCAGCACACAAGCTCACAACCATTCGTATCTTGGCCCTAAAGGAGGGCACTGGACTATCTTTTTATCTCCAATGCTTGTATCACAGTTCCCCTGTGATTTCCATCCTTATTGGTTCAGCTCTTGGAAGGAAACTGGATGTCAGCCTGCCGGACAGATGATTTACAACAATCTTCCTGTGCAATTTCAGAAGCAGTCCTTCAATAACATACAGGCTCTACACTGTTGCCGGGTTTAGGCAGGGGGTGCCTTGTGACTAGCATGTAGATGTAGAGTACCAGCTGTGCCAAGCCATAAATTGAGTGAAGTGAGCAGCAGTTGTTTGAACCTGAGAACAGAAACTGAAGATTCAAACCACATGAAAAAAACCAAAATAAAACAAAACAAGAAGTTTAATCTACTCATGTTAGAGCAGGAATGAAAGACATGGAACTAAGCGTCTTTTTGACAGGTCTTTTCCTTCAGTAGCTTGATGTTTCAGGAGCAATTCTATATGTTCAACTAAAACATATTTTACATGTAAAATCATCTTGTGTACAGCGTATGAAAATAGACGTTCATATGAACAAAACGGGTAACTGCAGCCCTCAGTGCTCCTTACATACAGATACCCATTGTCTTCATGTTATTGCAATTGCAAGTCTATTTCTGCCAAATGGACTGTGAAAATCAATAGCAAACTCCATTTGCTAAATAACACTTGCAAGCTCTGACTTGGCTAAGGAAATTTGGACTCGGGTGGTTTCTGCAAAACTACCATTAAGAACTCTGTGGAAATTATCACCCTTGCCGTGTGGTCACTAGCGGGCAGCTTTGAAAGACCGAAGTCATTTTGCCATCAGAATCTGAACTTGCACCTGTGGATACAAAAAACTGAGAAAAGGTTTTTCCGTAAATAAATGACCAGAAATAATTCAGTTATGCTTAGTAACTGTGCTGCTGAAGACGCAGTCTTCTGAATAAACCAACCCAACCTGGATATGGTAATTAAAAAACACTTGCCTATTTTTTTTCAGGAATCAATGTGCTTACCGATGTGACTTCTACCCCTCTCTCAAAGCTGTTATAAGGCTAAAATCAGGTCTACCCTCTTAATATTTTCAGTATTGTTTATCAGTTGCATAACAGAACAGCCTGAGGGTTCTAACTGACAGTGACTAGAAAAAGCCCCTGGTGCAGATGAAGCCATTTCAGCAAAATATGTGTTTTGCTCTAACAGTCAGGCCTGGCATTCACCTATAGCTTTAGCGGAATTCCCCATGCCAGGGTATTCCTTTAAAAGTCCAAGTATTGATACTTATAAAGCAACAAGTCATTTTGGCACAAATCATTTTTCATTTGGGAACTGGTTAAAGCAATACTGGGCAGCATTAGCTGCCTCTTCATTAGGGGGACTGGGATCACTGTACCTTTACTAATGCAGCTACAACTGCTCCATTGTAGAAAAAGAAACAGGGGTGCTCAAATAAACTATTCAGTGAAGAATGCAAGACTGCTTGTGAGGCCTTAGCATGGTGGCATGATAGCCTAGGCAGGCTCTCTCAAATTCTCGATGAGGAAGGGATCAGGATTAACTTCTTTGGAAGGCTGTTGTCCTGGCTGATGAAACAGAGGAATACAGAACAGCCAAGAGGAGTTAGCCGGGGATAACGTCCTTCCCATGTGCCGGCTCTCTGTCCTCCGAGGTCAGAGATGGCCCCTGGTTTCCACAACCATCTCTGCTTTCTGCTCGCTGATGCTATAGGCTTGTCCCGCTCTGCCTGAAAGCTACAAGTCCTCTCATTTCCAGATTAATTTTTAATTAATATTTTTTGTTTAAGGTAAAAATTTTCTAGAACAGACTTGGCTTCAATTAGTGCCATATTCTACTTTTAAATACTGGTGTACCACCTCTGAGTGCAAAAACTTGCCCTGTTATGTTTTTGCTGCCTCCCGGTTAGCCAGAGTCGACCAGAGCCTTTCTTGGCCCCAAACCAAGCATGAAGAAGTTACCCCTTAGCACTCCAGGAGGGAAAAAGGCCAAAGAAGGCAAGCAAAAAACCCCAACAATTTTACATAAGTTTGTAACAATTTAATAAAATAACAGAACACAAAAGTCACTGTTTAGTTATAAGTGGAGATGCAAGGTGTTGTGGTTTTTTTTGATGCTCTGTACTCCTAGTGCATGTACTACGGGAAAGAAGTGCCAGTTGTCCGTATTTCAAAGGCAGAGGACGAAGGCGATAGGGAAAGGGCTCCCGAGCGAGAACACGGCGGGCAGCAAGGCTGAGGGCAGGCGGCTACAGACGCCGCGCCGGCCGCTCCTCACGGGAAGCGCAGCTCCCGCACGGCGGAGGCGAGGCCCTGCGCGCCCCGCCGGAGCGGAGAGGGGGCTGAGGGACCGCCGCCGGAGCGGAGAGGGGGCTGAGGGACCGCCGCCGGGGCGGGCACCGCGCTCCCCGTCTCCCCGGGAAGGGGCGCAGGGAGCCCGCTCGCGTCCCGCACCCTGACGCGCTTCTTCCTCCCTCGGCGCCGGATTGCTGCTCTCCGCTCGCTTCCCCCCGTGAGGCAGAGCCCGGGGGGCGCCTCGTCAGGGGAGGCCGCTGCCGGGGAAGGGACGGCCGCGGCCGAGGAAGGGCGGGCAGCTCCCCTCCGAGGGAGCCTCTTGCCCTGCCCCCGGCGGAGCCCCCCCCTCAGGGGCAGGTGGCGCTTCCCGGGGGAGCCTTCCTCCCCCTCCTAGCGCTGGTGGCCCGGAAGGGAAGCCCTGCCCCTCCTCCTCAGCTAGCTCTCAGGTGACAGCAGCCATCTCCGTACCTCCCTCTCCGCTGCCTCCCGCGGGTCTACTTCACCTGTAGCGCGCCCGTGGGGCGGGCAGAAGGCGACCGCCCCCCCCTCCCCGCCCGGCCG